ACTACTAGTTATAGTACCAGTACTATTAGTTGTAGTACCAGTACTACTAATTATAGTATTACCGAGCAGTGACAGGGCTCTACGAGTCTCTGTGAGCTGTGAGGCGTCGTAGTACCAGTACTACTAGTTATAGTACTAGTACTACTAGTTATAGTAGTACTAGTTATAGTACTACTAGTTATAGTACTAGTACTGCTAGTTATAGTACTAGTACTACTAGTTATAGTACCAGTACTACTAGTTATAGTACTACTAGTTATAGTACCAGTACTACTAGTTATAGTACTACTAGTTATAGTACCAGTACTACTAGTTATTGTACCAGTACTACTAGTTATAGTACCAGTACTACTAGTTATAGTACCAGTACTACTAGTTATAGTACTAGTACTACTAGTTATAGTACTACTAGTTATATTACTAGTACTACTAGTTATAGTACTACTAGTTATATTACTAGTACTACTAGTTATAGTACTATTAGTTATAGTACTAGTACTACTAGTTATAGTACCAGTACTACTAGTTATAGTACTACTAGTTAAGTACTAGTACTACTAGTTATAGTACCAGTACTACTAGTTATAGTACCAGTACTACTAGTTATAGTACTACTAGTTATAGTACCAGTACTACTAGTTATAGTACCAGTACTACTAGTTATAGTAATACTAGTTATAGTACCAGTACTACTAGGTTATAGTACCAGTACTACTAGTTATAGTACTACTAGTTATAGTACTAGTACTACTAGTTATAGTACCATACTACTAGTTATAGTACCAGTACTACTAGTTATTAGTACTACTAGTTATAGTACTACTAGTTATAGTACCAGTACTACTAGTTATAGTACCAGTACTACTAGTTATAGTACACTAGTTATAGTACCAGTACTACTAGTTATAGTACCAGTACTACTAGTTATAGTACTACTAGGTTAGTAGTACTAGTACTACTAGTATGCTAGTACAAGTACTACTAGTTATAGTACCAGTACTAATAGTTATAGTACTAGTACTACTAGTTATAGTACCAGTACTACTAGTTATAGTATACTACTAGTTATATTACTAGTACTACTAGTTATAAGTACTACTAGTTATAGTACCAGTACTACTAGTTATAGTACCAGTATACTACTAGTTATAGTACTACTAGGTAGTACTAGTACTACTAGTTGTAGTACCAGTACTACTAGTTATAGTACCAGTACTACTAGTTATAGTACTAGTACTACTCGTTATAGTACCAGTACTACTAGTTATAGTACTAGTACTACTGGTTATAGTACTACTAGTTATAGTACCAGTACTACTAGTTATAGTACTAGTACTACTAGTTATAGTACTACTAGTTATAGTACTAGTACTACTAGTTATAGTACTAGTACTACTAGTTATAGTACCAGTACTACTAGTTGTAGTATTACCGAGCAGTGAAAGGGCTCTACGAGTCTCTGTGAGCTGTGAGGCGTCGTAGTACCAGTACTACTAGTTATAGTACTAGTACTACTAGTTATAGTACCAGTACTACTAGTTGTAGTATTACCGAGCAGTGAAAGGGCTCTACGAGTCTCTGTGAGCTGTGAGGCGTCGTAGTACCAGTACTACTAGTTATAGTACTAGTACTATAACTAGTAGTACTAGTACTATAACTTGTAGTACTAGTACTACTAGTAGTACTAGTACTACTAGTTATAGTACCAGTACTACTAGTTATAGTACTAGTACTACTAGTTATAGTACTAGTACTACTAGTTATAGTACTACTAGTTATAGTACCAGTACTACTAATTATAGTATTACCCAGCAGTGAAAGGGCTCTACGAGTCTCTGTGAGCTGTGAGGCGTCGTAGTACCAGTACTACTAGTTATAGTACTAGTACTACTAGTTATAGTACTAGAACTACTAGTTATAGTACTACTAGTTATAGTACTAGTACTACTAGTTATAGTACTAGTACTACTAGTAATAGTACTACTAGTTATAGTAACAGTACTGCTAGTTATAGTACTACTAGTTATGGTACCAGTACTACTAGTTATAGTACTAGTACTACTAGTTATAGTACCAGTACTACTAGTTATAGTACCAGTACTATTAGTTGTAGTACCAGTACTACTAATTATAGTATTACCGAGCAGTGGACAGGGCTCTACGAGTCCTCTGTGAGCTGTGAGGCGTCGTAGTACCAGTACTACTAGTTTATAGTACTAGTACTACTAGTTATAGTAGTACTAGTTTATAGTACTACTAGTTATAGTACTAGTACTGCTAGTTATAGTACCAGTACTACTATTCTATAGTACCAGTACTACTATTCTATAGTACTACTATTCTATAGTACCAGTACTACTATATGGTACTACTATTCTATAGTACCAGTACTACTACTATATAGTACCAGTACTACTATTCTATAGTACCAGTACTACTATTCTATAGTACCAGTACTACTATTCTATAGTACTAGTACTTCTACTATATAGTACTACTAGTTATATTACTAGTACTACTAGTTTAGAGTACTACTAGTTATATTACTAGTACTACTAGTTATAGTACTATTAGTTATAGTACTAGTACTACTAGTTATAGTACCAGTACTACTAGTTATAGTACTACTAGTTATAGTACTAGTACTACTAGTTATAGTACCAAGTACTACTAGTTATAGTACCAGTACTACTAGTTATAGTACTACTAGTTATAGTACCAGTACTACTAGTTATAGTACCAGTACTACTAGTTATAGTACTACTAGTTATAGTACCAGTACTACTAGTTATAGTACCAGTACTACTAGTTATAGTACTACTAGTTATAGTACTAGTACTAATAGTTATAGTACCAGTACTACTAGTTATAGTACTACTAGTTTATAGTACTACTAGTTATAGTACCAGTACTACTAGTTATAGTACCAGTACTACTAGTTATAGTACTACTAGTTATAGTACCAGTACTACTAGTTATAGTACCAGTACTACTAGTTATAGTACTACTAGTTATAGTACTAGTACTACTAGTTGTAGTACCAGTACTACTAGTTATAGTACCAGTACTACTAGTTATAGTACTAGTACTACTAGTTTATAGTACCAGTACTACTAGTTATAGTACTACTAGTTATAGTACTAGTACTACTAGTTATAGTACTACTAGTTATAGTACCAGTACTACTAGTTATAGTACCAGTACTACTAGTTATAGTACTACTAGTTAAGTACTAGTACTACTAGTTGTAGTACCAGTACTACTAGTTATAGTACCAGTACTACTAGTTATAGTACTAGTACTACTCGTTATAGTACCAGTACTACTAGTTATAGTACTAGTACTACTAGTTATAGTACTACTAGTTATAGTACTAGTACTACTAGTTATAGTACTAGTACTACTAGTTATAGTACCAGTACTACTAGTTGTAGTATTACCGAGCAGTGAAAGGGCTCTACGAGTCTCTGTGAGCTGTGAGGCGTCGTAGTACCAGTACTACTAGTTATAGTACTAGTACTACTAGTTATAGTACTAGAACTACTAGTTATAGTACTACTAGTTATAGTACTACTAGTTATAGTACTAGTACTGCTAGTTATAGTACTAGTACTACTAGTTATAGTACCAGTACTACTAGTTATAGTACTACTAGTTATAGTACCAGTACTACTAGTTATAGTACTACTAGTTATAGTACCAGTACTACTAGTTATTGTACCAGTACTACTAGTTATAGTACCAGTACTACTAGTTATAGTACCAGTACTACTAGTTATAGTACTAGTACTACTAGTTATAGTACTACTAGTTATATTACTAGTACTACTAGTTATAGTACTACTAGTTATATTACTAGTACTACTAGTTATAGTACTATTAGTTATAGTACTAGTACTACTAGTTATAGTACCAGTACTACTAGTTATAGTACTACTAGTTATAGTACTAGTACTACTAGTTATAGTACCAGTACTACTAGTTATAGTACCAGTACTACTAGTTATAGTACTACTAGTTATAGTACCAGTACTACTAGTTATAGTACCAGTACTACTAGTTATAGTACTACTAGTTATAGTACCAGTACTACTAGTTATAGTACCAGTACTACTAGTTATAGTACTACTAGTTATAGTACTAGTACTAATAGTTATAGTACCAGTACTACTAGTTATAGTACTACTAGTTATAGTACTACTAGTTATAGTACCAGTACTACTAGTTATAGTACCAGTACTACTAGTTATAGTACTACTAGTTATAGTACCAGTACTACTAGTTATAGTACCAGTACTACTAGTTATAGTACTACTAGTTATAGTACTAGTACTACTAGTTGTAGTACCAGTACTACTAGTTATAGTACCAGTACTACTAGTTATAGTACTAGTACTACTAGTTATAGTACCAGTACTACTAGTTATAGTACTACTAGTTATAGTACTAGTACTACTAGTTATAGTACTACTAGTTATAGTACCAGTACTACTAGTTATAGTACCAGTACTACTAGTTATAGTACTACTAGTTAAGTACTAGTACTACTAGTTGTAGTACCAGTACTACTAGTTATAGTACCAGTACTACTAGTTATAGTACTAGTACTACTCGTTATAGTACCAGTACTACTAGTTATAGTACTAGTACTACTAGTTATAGTACTACTAGTTATAGTACTAGTACTACTAGTTATAGTACTAGTACTACTAGTTATAGTACCAGTACTACTAGTTGTAGTATTACCGAGCAGTGAAAGGGCTCTACGAGTCTCTGTGAGCTGTGAGGCGTCGTAGTACCAGTACTACTAGTTATAGTACCAGTACTACTAGTTATAGTACTAGTACTACTGGTTATAGTACTACTAGTTATAGTACCAGTACTACTAGTTATAGTACTAGTACTACTAGTTATAGTACTACTAGTTATAGTACTAGTACTACTAGTTATAGTACTAGTACTACTAGTTATAGTACCAGTACTACTAGTTGTAGTATTACCGAGCAGTGAAAGGGCTCTACGAGTCTCTGTGAGCTGTGAGGCGTCGTCCGTCCCATTGATCTCAGCGTTGCCACCCTGCCTGGTGTAGTAGAACGTCTCAGCGGGGCCTGGGACAGGGAGACACGGGGGAGACACGGGGAGAGACACGGGGAGACACGGGGAGAGAGACACGGGGAGAGACACGGGGGGAGAGACACGGGGGGAGAGACACGGGGGGAGATATGGGGAGACACGGGGAGAGACGGGGAGACACGGGGAGGCACGGGGAGACACAGGGAGAGACACGGGGGGAGAGACACGGGGGGAGAGATGGGGAGACACGGGGAAAGACGGGGAGAGACGGGGAGGCACGGGGAGACACAGGGAGAGACACGGGGAGAGACACGGGGGGAGAGACACGGGGGGAGATATGGGGAGACACGGGGAGAGACGGGGAGAGACGGGGGAGACACGGGGAGACACGGGGGAGACACGGGGGGGGGGGGGAGATACGGGGGAGACACACGGAGAGAAACGGGGAGACACAGGGAGACACGGGGAGACACGGGGGAGACAAGGGGAGACACGGGGAGAGACACGGGGGAGACACGGGGGCGGAGACACGGGGGGGAGACACGGGGGGGAGAGTGATGTGACTACACTCAATCACACACAGTCACACACACACAGTCACACACACACAGTCACACACACAACAACAATAACAACAACAACCGCCATTCGCCACTAAGTGGCGGTGACGTCACCACGACGCTTGTGCCAGGCTATGTGCACCCTGAGGCCACGTGAAGTGTCGAACGCCCGCTGGCAGGAGGTCACGGGGCAGACCCAGGTGCCACGGGTCGACTGACTGAGATGACTGGCTGATGCACCACCTGTGCCCCCTACTGTGCCAACCTGCTGTGCTTTAGCCACCCGGCGCTCCGCTCGTTGTTGTGAGCGTCGCTCCTCCGCCCTCCGTTGTTGTTGGAGGGCGACTGCCTCCAACTGCCCAGTAGCATCCTTCACGAGCCTCCTCCACAGAGGCCGATCTTGACACCGCTGGTACCAGTCATCGGCAAGTCCGCTCAGCTCCACGTCCTCCTGTACCACATCACTCCATCTCTTCTCTAGCCCGTGCCGCGCCCGCTTAGCCCCCTCAATCCGGCCGAACAAAAGCTGTTTAGGCATGCGGTGGCTGGGCATGCGGGCTACATGACCCAGCCATCGCAGCCTTGCCTGCCGGAGGAGCTCACCGATGGGACCGTGCCCAGATCTTTCAAGGATTTGTGAGCTCCTCACACAATCCAGTCTGGTTAAACCCAGGATGGATCGTAGGCAGGCTAGCCTAAATGTTTCTAACCGGCGAAGATGTTCCATTAGGGGGGGTCCACGTTTCGCAAGCGTAGAGAGGGGAGGGAATGACCGTGGCCAAGAAGACCTGAAGCTTAGTGCGGAGCGACAGACCAGGTAGCTTCCACACAGCGTTACGCAACCGATGAAAATATATTGCCGCTCTACTGATTCGGAGTGAGACCTCTGCTGTTAAACTGCAGCCGGTCATAAGCACACTGCCCAGGTATGGGAAACTCTCCACTCTCTCCACAACTGCCCCATCACCGATTAGGATTTGTGGGGGTGGAGTGTCCGATGGTACAAAATACCCAGGCAGGTGGTTAGTTTTGGTGGGGCTGATGGTAAGGCCCCACCTCTTAGTGGCACGCTCCAGTCTCAGCAGCAACGTCTCCAACTCCTCCTTTGAATGAGCAGCAATTACCAAATCATCAGCATACATAACGTGGTTGAGCAATAGGGAGCCATCCCTTGACTGCACCCGGGCATCGATCAGCCTCCCATTATATCTGTACCATATGGAGATTCCCCCGGTATAGCTATTGAAGGCTTCACGAACTACGTGGTCAAACTAGATGTTAAATAATGTGGGAGCCAGAGGACATCCCTGTCGCACCCCAAGGTGTACAGGGAATGGCTCTGACTCCCGGCCACGTAGTTTTACATGGGCCCGCTCACCATCATGAAGGTCCTTAATGATCGTGAGCAGAGGGTCAGGTACTCCAAAAGCACGAAGAACAACCCAGAGCCCAGGCCTACTGATGGTATCATAGGCCTTGACCAGGTCAATAAAGCAGAGATGTAGGTCTTGTTGGAATTCCCTACACCTCTGCTGTAGCAGACGGACAGAAAATATGACATCTGTGCAGGACCACCCTTTCCTGAAACCGCATTGGGGCTCCGCAAGCCTCTCCTCAGCGTGCCTGGCAAGGCGATGCTGAATAATCCTTGCCAGGACCTTTCTCGGCACACTGAGGAGTGAGATGCCCCTGTTGTTGTTACAGTCTGTGCGGTCCCCCTTCTTAAAGAGGGGGACCACCAGGGTATCCTTAATTCACACAATCACCTAGCCACCCACTCACAAACTCACCCACCCACCCACCGAGCCACCCACCCACCCAAACACCCACCCACTCAAACACCCACCCACTCACCCACTCACCCAGCCACCCACTCACAAACTTACCCACCCACCCACTCACCCACCCACCCACAAACTCACCCAGCCACCCACTTACAAACTCACCCACCCACCCACTCAGCCACCCAATCACGAACTTACCCACTCACTCACCCACCCACCCACAAACTCACCCAGCCACCCACCCACAAACTCACCCAGGCACCGACCCACAAACTCACTCACCCACCCACCCACAAACTCACCCAGCCACCCACTTACAAACTCACCCACTCCACCACCTACTACAACACCCACTCACCCATTCACACACCCACTCACTCAGTCACCAACTCCCCCACTCACCCACTCATTCACGCAGTTAGCCACTAACCCACCCACTCATTCACCCAGTTTCACACTCACAAACCCACCCACACAGTCACCCACCCACCCAATCATCTACTAACCAACTCACCCACCCACCAACTCACCCACCCACCAACTCTCCCACCCACCAACTCACCCACCCATTCACTCAAAGACAAAGACAAACATCCCCCGTATAGCCTTAACAGACTGTAGGGGCAAGTGCTGTTAGCGAGCACCTATGAAGGCCGGAACGGTACACGAGGGGGTGAGTGGCCAGCACCACGCCCGACCGCCTTTGTCTCCCCGGTGGCGATGTTTACTACACACCGCACCAGGTGACACATTTGAGGCTGAGTCGACCTAGGGGAGGCCCAGGACGGGTTCAGATAATCGTCACTGGTGGTGTTGGCCGTGAGCGGGAATCGAACCCGGGTCGCCAGGTTCATAGCGCAGCGTAGCGCTAACCGCTACACTATCGCTCCCCAAACACACACAGACACACTCACCCACTGACTCACCCACCCACTCAACCACCCACCCACTCAACCACCCACCCACCCACTCAACCACCCACCCACACACTCACCCACCCACTCACTCACTCACACACTCACCACACCCACCACCCACTCACCCACCCACTCACCCACTCACTCACCCACTCACTCACCCACTCACTCACTCACCCACTCACTCACCCACTCACCCACCCACTCACACACCCACCGACTCACCCACCCACTCAACCACCCACCCACACACTCACTCACCCACCCACTCACTCACCCACCCACTCACCCACCCACTCACTCACCCACCCACTCACCCACTCACCCACCCACCCACTCACTCACTTACTCACACACTCACTCACACACTCACCCACTCACCCACCCACCCACTCACCCACCCACTCACCCACTCACTCACCCACTCACTCACCCACTCACTCACTCACCCACTCACTCACCCACTCACCCACCCACTCACACACCCACCGACTAACCCACCCACTCAACCACCCACCCACACACTCACTCACCCACTCACTCACCCACTCACCCACCCACTCACACACTCACTCACTCACCCACTCACCCACCCACTCACTCACCAACTCACTCACTCACTCACCCACCCACTCACCCACTCACTCACCCACTCACTCACTCACTCACTCACCCACACCAACTCACCTACTCACCCACCCACTCACCCACTCACTCACTCACTCACACACTCACCCATCCACCCACTCACTCACCAACTAACTCACCCACTCACCCACTCACCCACTCACTCACTCACTCACCCATCCACCCACTCACTCACTCACTCACACACTCACCCACTCACTCACTCACCCACCCACTCACTCACCCACTCACCCCACCCACCCACTCACTCACTCACTCACCCACCCACCCTCCCACTCACCCACTCACTCACTCACTCACCCACCCACTCACTCACCCACTCACCCACCCACTCACTCACTCACCCACTCACTCAAACACTCACCCACTCACCCACTAACTCACTCACTCACTCACCCACCCACTCACACACTCACCACCCACCCACTCACTCACCCACTCACTCACCCACCCACCCACTCACTCACTCACCCACCCACTCACCCACTCACTCACCCACTCACCCACCCACTCACCCACCCACTCACCCACCCACCCACTCACCCACTCAACGACCCACCCACCCACTCACTCACCCACCCACTCACTCACCCACCCACTCACTCACCCAACCACTCACCCACTCACTCACCCACTCACTCACCCACTCACTCACTCACTCACCCACCCACTCACCCACCCACCCACTTACCCACTCACCCACTCACTCACTCACACACTCACCCACCCACTCACTCACCCACTCACTCACTCACTCACCCACTCACTCACTCACCCACTCACTCACTCACCCACCCACCCACTCACTCACTCACTCACCCACTCACTCACTCACCCACTCACCCACCCACTCACTCACCAACTCACTCACTCACTCACCCACCCACTCACCCACTCACTCACCCACTCACTCACTCACTCACCCACACCAACTCACCTACTCACCCACCCACTCACCCACTCACTCACTCACTCACACACTCACCCATCCACCCACTCACTCACCAACTAACTCACCCACTCACCCACTCACCCACTCACTCACTCACTCACCCATCCACCCACTCACTCACTCACTCACACACTCACCCACTCACTCACTCACCCACCCACTCACTCACCCACTCACCCACCCACCCACTCACTCACTCACTCACCCACCCACCCTCCCACTCACCCACTCACTCAGTCACTCACTCACCCACCCACTCACTCACCCACTCACCCACCCACTCACTCACTCACCCACTCACTCAAACACTCACCCACTCACCCACTAACTCACTCACTCACCCACCCACTCACACACTCACCACCCACCCACTCACTCACCCACTCACTCACCCACCCACCCACTCACTCACTCACTCACCCACCCACTCACCCACTCACTCACCCACTCACCCACCCACTCACCCACCCACTCACCCACCCACCCACTCACCCACTCAACGACTCACGCAACCACTCACTCACCCACCCACTCACTCACCCACCCACTCACTCACCCAACCACTCACCCACTCACTCACCCACTCACTCACCCACTCACTCACTCACTCACCCACCCACTCACCCACCCACTCACCCACTCACTCACTCACTCACCCACTCACTCACCCACTCATTCACCCACCCACTCACCCACTCACTCACTCACACACTCACCCACCCACTCACTCACCCACTCACTCACCCACTCACTCACTCACCCACTCACTCACTCACTCACCAACTCACTCACTCACCCACCCACCCACTCACTCACCCACTCACTCACCCACCCACCCACTCACTCACTCACCCACCCACTCACCCACTCACTCACCCACTCACCCACCCACTCACCCACCCACTCACCCACCCACCCACTCAACGACCCACCCACCCACTCACTCACCCACCCACTCACTCACCCACCCACTCACTCACCCAACCACTCACCCACTCACTCACCCACTCACTCACCCACTCACTCACTCACTCACCCACCCACTCACCCACCCACTCACCCACTCACTCACTCACTCACCCACTCACTCACCCACTCATTCACCCACCCACTCACCCACTCACTCACTCACACACTCACCCACCCACTCACTCACCCACTCACTCACCCACTCACTCACTCACTCACCCACTCACTCACCCACTCATTCACCCACCCACTCACACACTCACTCACTCACACACTCACCCATCCACCCACTCACTCACTCACTCACCAACTAACTCACCCACTCACCCACTCACCCACTCACTCACTCACCCATCCACCCACTCACTCACTCACTCACACACTCACCCACTCACTCACTCACCCACCCACTCACTCACCCACTCACCCACTCACCCACCCACCCACTCACTCACTCACCCACCCACCCTCCCACTCACCCACTCACTCACTCACTCACCCACCCACTCACTCACCCACTCACCCACCCACTCACTCACTCACCCACTCAAACACTCACCCACTAACTCACTCACTCACTCACCCACCCACTCACACACTTACCCACCCACCCACTCACTCACCCACTCACTCACCCACTCACTCACTCACCCACTCACCCACTCACACACCCACTCACCCACTCACCCACCCACCCACCCACTCACTCACCCACTCACTCACCCACCCAGCCACCCACTCACTCACTCACTCACCCACTCACTCACTCACCCACCCACTCACTCACCCACCACCACCCACTCATCCACTCCCCCACCCAATCAGTCACTCACTCACTCACCCACTCACTCACTCACTCACCCACTCACTCACCCATTCACCCACCCACTCACCCACTCACTCACCACCCACTCACCCACTCACTCACCCACTCACCAACTCACTCACTCACCCACTCACCCACTCACTCACCCACCCACTCACCCACTCACCCACTCACCCACTCACTCACTTACCTACCCACTCACTCACTCACCCACCCAACCACCCACTCACTCACCCACTCACCCACCCACTCCCCCACTCACCCACTCACCCACTCACTCACTCACTCACCCACCCACACACTCACTCACCCACTCACCCACTCACCCACTCACCCACCCACCCACCCACTCACTCACTCACCTACCCACCCACCCACTCACCCACCCACTCACCCACCCACTCACTCACCCACTCACCCACTCACCCACTCACTCACCCACCCAGCCACTCACCCACTCACCCACCCACCCACTCACTCACCCACTCACCCACTCACCCACTCACTCACCCACCCACCCACTCACCCACTCACCCACCCACCCACTCACTCACCCACTCACTCACTCACCCACTCACTCACTCACCCACTCACCCAACTGAAGAGTTTTAAGGTCCGCGTGTGATGAGGAGGAGGATGAGGAAGCAGCA